AGAAGAGCTCAGTAACGTTTGGCTCCAGGTGTAGAACTCGAAGAAGGCCTAATTTCAACGGCGTATAGTCGGCCAGAAGGCCGTCGCCCATTAGGAAGACCAATTTTCCTGCAGCTGTCTGATCGCATGTATTTGATCTGGGACAGGATATATTTCGCGGTTGGAGACGTCGATGATTAGTGGATGCGGTTCAGAAGTTTGGTGAACTTGCGAGAGACGAGGGGCTCAGAGGTGACATGAGGATGGACGACCTCTGAACACGACAACATTGACATAAGTGTTGCATGTCCGGTATGGTGTAACGGCTAACATTGCCGCCTTTCACTGTATACTGCAGCGCGCGGCAGCTCGGGGTTCGATTCCCCGTACCGGAATTTTTTCGCCAGCGTGGACACACTCCTTCTCCTCTCCTCTCAAGGCTAGGAAACCACCGTATGTTGTGTCGGGTATGGTGTAACGGCTAACATTGCCGCCTCTCACAACGTGGATTGTTAACGTGGATTGTTGCGCGGCAGCTCGGGGTTCGATTCCCCGTACCCGAACTCATCCCAGCTGGAGCTCTTAGCTTTTGAGATGTTAGCTAGCTTTTGCACCAAGACAGAACTCAAATGTTGTAACGTCGAAGTTCGAAACACCTTCGACTCGGACATGCCACGCACATCCTGTGCATTTTCTCCACATCTATGATATATGATGCATTTTCCGATTTCGTTCCAGTGCGCTAGCTTAGTATACACCTCCCTAACCCAACCGACTCCCGAGTAGTTTCAACGCCGAATGCTCCAAAGGAAAGGAAGGCAAAGGAAAGGAAGGCAAAGGAAAGAAAGGAAAGACACACATTCCACCATGAACAACCTCCAGATCCCAATGGTTTATGCCTTGAACAACCACGGTAGAACAACGCCCCTTCCAATCGTGCGGCAGCGCCCAAGCCTCCGGTGCTGCGCCCACGCCCGTGGAAGCCCCACCACGACCTCCGCGAGGAGCACGACATATGGCGGGGCTAGGTTCTGCGCGAAGAGGTACGCGGGACGCTGGATCGTCGCTATTGCTTTCGCCGGGAGACTCCAGAGGCCCAGATCCAAAAGGATCTGGGTGAACGAGGCGAAAGAGGTGACGGACGCGAGAGATCGGAGGGATTGAAGGAGAGTGAGCGGTCGCAGGGACGCAGTGAGCGAAGTGAAAGACGCGTACGGAGAAACTGACGAGAGTAGTCGCGTGACGAACCTGAGGGAGGACGAAGAGAGAGGGGGAGGAGTCGGGGCGGCGGCGAGAGCAAAGCCGAGGAGCGCAGTCCATTCGCAGAGATAGTGTGGGTGTGTTATATACGCGAAGAGCAGCCCGGTGCTTGGGATCGTTTCTGCGATGTCGATGTCGCTCATGGCCGCTGCCCCACCGACGTCGTGAAGATCATTATCATTTTCATCATCATCCTTCTTCGCCTTCCATTTCCCTTTAGCGGCAGCTTTCCTCCTCGCGTCGACCACCAGATGCGTGTGCGCGATGACCCCCACCAAACCGAGAAGATAGAAGAAAGCGCCGAGGAAAAAGGAGGGACGCGTGGCGGTGTACGCCGTTGTGAGGAATATGCGCGCGAAGGGGGAGGTGAGGTATGCGCCTGTTGAGAAGGCCGCAAGCGCATCGAAGGCTGCGCGTGTAAGTGTCGCTGGGGTGTGTGCAGTTCCATTGAGGCCAAGACCAGGCTTGGCAGCAGCCGAGGAGGAACATAGGGAGATGCCAGTACACGGAGGGAGTGCGGTGCCCATACGCAGCGCGTAGTGTGCGAGGTACATGAACCCCAGCAAGACCTGGGGTGCATTGAGTGGTGGATGACTTTGGTTGTGGCCGGCGGAAGCGAATGTGAGCGGAGAGGTGAGGAAGGCAGTGATAAAGAGAAATGGGGGTAAGAGGGTAAGGCACGTTGGGAAGAGTACACCTATTGATTGTAAGGAGTTCATATGAGCGATGGTGAATGGCACTGGACGAGCGATGATATAGATGTATACTAACCGCTGACGAATAGGGCTTTATCCGGGAAGCCTGAGAGTGTGCGGGGGAAGAAGATGTCGGTGGCGAAGAGAAGAGGAGAGAAGGTGACGGACGAAAGGGTAATCCATTTTCTGCCAACTGGGTAGTAGGGGTCATATCATCATCTTTCATTCGGACTCAACTCATAACCTTTACGATCACGTACCATTGTACAAGACAGCAGCTTGGCTTTGGCTGAACATCTCCTAGCTAGAGTATCCGCGTGTCGACTCGCAGTCCCCGAGGCAATCTCGTCCCCTAGGCCCAGGGAGGAAATGACGTTGTACGGTATGTATCGCCAAAGTTACAAGTGCTCCAAGTGGAAAACTTGTCAAGGGCACTGAACACGAGCTAGGGATCTCGGACGAGAATCAAATCCAGGAGTAGGCTAAGTATCGTAGTTCGGCCTCGGAAGAACGTCGAAAAGACTGGTACATCACGATACGTGGAGATTGTGTGGAGCTCTCCAATTGGCCCTCAGGACGCGCATGTGGCCCTGATCAGGTGGGTCCCAAGACCTCGAATCGCGTGCATTTACGCAGGTGGCCATATGCCCAGAGCCAGAGCTGTTGATAGAAAAGAGTTCCTCGACGTTGAGTTGTGCAGTATGGGCTAAAGTTGTTTGTATAGTGCCGGTTTGTTACAGCTAGTCTCGTGCCCATCCTCTCACGGTTTCCTTCCCAATTTGTGCCCTTTGGGGGGCCTTTTGGGAGGTGGAGTAGGAAGTGTGGTGGAAGGGGTATTGGTTGCGCGGGTGGGAGTTGACGTCAAGTCAGTAAGCCGTCGTCTTTTGGGCGGCCAGGCGAGCTCAGGATCGTTCTCAGACACAGTAGAGCATATTATATGGAAGCTCGAGTAAAGACTGCAGTGAAAAAGAGAGCGGGAGGCCGTGGACGCGACGCGCGATGAGGAGCAAGTAGTGGGAGGTAAGCTTATCTAAGCGAAATGGCGCGCGAACGCGTGTTGTCGTTGGTTGTATCCCAGACTCTCACGGGGCCCATATTGGGAAAAAGAGGATGGGCATGAGACTACGCGGACCCGCCCATGCTCAGGCGACACTTCAGACTCTTGAATACTGTGCTGCTTTACGGACGTCAACGACATCTACACGTTCGGACACGCATGGCTACTCCCACCCAGCCTACTGCACCTAACGACCGACCTCCCCCCCAGCCTGTTGCACCTAACCAGCGACTCTCTGTGCAACCTGATGGCACTGTCTTCGTCGACTTGGACTTTGTCGAAGAAGCGCTTGGCCTACCTGGTGTAGACGGCGACGGCTGGGCGCGCTTCGAATTCGGCCAGGCCATAGGACCGAATAAGCGGTACACGGTCGAACGCAAACTCGGTTGGGGCATGTACTCGAGTACGTGGCTTGCCCGCGATAATGAGTAGGCCACCAACTAATCGGAGCTCACTGGAGCAGATGCTCACATTATTTCACAGGGAGTCTAAATATGTAGCGGTGAAGGCATTGTCCGGCTTCTATACGGAGCTCCTCGAGAAGGGACTCGACATAGGTCCTTCATCTTCTCGGAAAATCATCCCCGCACTGCATCCCACTTTTGGCCCAATTCAACGAGGCAGGCACCGGCAAGGATGGAACACATCGCTGCTTGGTAACTCCCCTCTATGGTGGCGACGTCGAATCCCTCCTGAAGAGACATAAAGGAGTGCCCCTGCGGCTCTCTAAGCGCATCCTTCTTCATATCCTCCGAGGTATCGCTCACGCACATAGTTGTTCAATTTACCACACGGATCTCAAACACGACAACTTCTTCTTCGAAACAACTATGACCACCGCCGAGATCGAAAAGTGGTTACAAGACAATCCGCCAAGACGAAATCCACCGGAGATGTCAAAATATGAGATGATCCAGTCCGCTGTCTCGCAGCCTCTGCCCATGATATCGGTCGAAGATGCGCTAACGACAAACTTTGTCTTGGCCGACTTCGGTGCCGGTGAGCTCATCACAGTGTTCTGCATTAGCGGTTCTAATATGTATGTCTGCCATAGCGCGTTCCCCTGACGATTCCACCGCTGGTTACAATCACGTTGTAACTTCACCTGATATTCGGCCCCCCGAAATTTTTTTGGGCGGGGCGTGGGACGAGAAGGTAGACATATGGACTTTTGGTTGTTTGGTACGCTCCCTTGGATTCAACCTGTGTCTGAACTCAACTGTTCGACTCTCAGGTATATGAAATCATCGCAGCTCGTCCTCTATTTCTACACCTACCCAACGGGGATTTTGATCTCGATCCTACCGAAAATGTGTTATTTTTCATGATGGGCAGCCTTGAACCTTTCCGTGCTGCGCAACTCAGTATCTGGCCTTTGGCAATTAATTATTTCGACCCGAAGGATTGTGGGCTCATCAAACTCCCTTCTCTACACAAAACACTCTGCTGACTTGCGGCCATACCTGGCATTTACAGGCTCCTTGAAGAAAGTTCCCCACTCAAGCGTCCCAGACCTCAGCATTGAACGGCGTATCGAATTAATCAGCGACATCGTCCCGGCTGCTGAAGCCGCGCCCATGGTCGCACTGATGCGTCGCTGTTTGAAGCTTGACCCCACGCAACGCGCCAGCGCTCAGGACCTGCTTAGCGATCCATTTTTTGAGGGCGTCGATTAGTCGAATATTGCCTATTGTAGACAACCAACGTATTTTCGTTAGCACATAATCAAATAAGTCTCCCACCTCGATCCCACTTGTGTCAAGGAAATCGATTTTCAGCCTGTAAAGTAATGTATACTGTGCTTACATTGAAGAGAATTGACGACCAGATAATTGTCGAGAAGATAACGCCGTCGATCATAATCGCAATTTCTCAATCGTCCTCCTCCGCCATGGGCAACGACAGTATCTACCGTCTGCCAACCTATCCTTC